AGAAGGATTGCCGCGAAATAAAGCCTGTTGGGTTGTAGAAAAAAGTCCTCGGCTTACTGTCCTGCGACACCGATTTTTGGTTACGAAGGCCTTCCAAACAACTTTTCCTACGAAATGGAAAGTCTTATAACAATGAATCACACCTAGTTTTACTACATATCCTCCAAATGAAAATTACTCCCGCATCAATTTACTGCGAGGTTTTCGTATCTCGCCCTTTATCTTGGTACATTCACACACCAAGTACGCGGTCAACCATGTCACTTATTGGTTCCGAGACTATTAGCAATGCTTTAATGAGAATTTAGTCACATTAGTTTGCTTAAGAATCACGTGACCTAGAATATACCGTTAAAGAATTCGTAGTATAGTAGGTTTGGAAATTGCCAGTAGATCTTGAATAATATGAGATGTATTCACCCTATTTCGTCTAAGGTGATCAAAGACTGGTAGAAGAAGAATTTTCCCACAATCATATGAGTTGAGCTGACCATTCCATTGAATTTCACACAGCCTTGCTCTCCCAAAAGTTGTTCTCATCGAGGCCCCAGTGGACTGCAGTTTCGACCTCGCATCGGTCTTATCCACACACCCAGCCGGAGTCGAACCGTGACCGTGCAGAATGGGAGCTTGACACGTGAACCACTCGACCACATTGCCACGAGTAACCTTAAGTCACAGGGCATAAGTGAATTTCAAGGAAGGTCAGGCCTCTTTGCTATATCATATTCTTTGGTGGGAGTGGCGATGAAACAAATGTATATTTGCTATAGCAATCGACTACGTTACTTATTTTCGTATTGGAGTAGAGTTTCGAGACTACCAGTAAATAAGTAATATGAGATGCGAGGTCGAAACTTCAGTCCATCCTGGATGAGAACAACTTTTGGGAAAACAAGGCTATGTGAAATTCAATGGAAACGTCAGCTCAACTTATATCATTGTGGGAAAATTGTACTACCAATTTTTCATCACCTTAGACGAAATAGTGTGAATACATCTCATATTACTGATAGTCTCGAAACTCTACTCCAATACGATCTTGAATAACTCTGGATGAGTTTACCTTTAGGGAATTATGGTTATGGGATGTTTAATGAAAAAATGAGTCCTAGTCATAGCATAGTGGGAAAATTGCCGCATCAATTTGTGCGACCCAAAGTGGATACAGCTCTTTTCCCTTTTTGGTTTCCGGCCTCATCAGATTGGGCATAGACGGCCAGAGTGTGGTGCTATTGCAGACAACAGTCCCTCTTTCCCACAGCTCCACAACCGACTCGCTCAGGCCACCGTGTCGGCCATGTCCGCACACTTTTACGCACTAAGAAGCCGAGTCCATTTTGTGAGGTTCGAAAGTTTTAGTCTCGGACCATACGTCAAGGATGACAACAACAGGCTGAGACGGAAGAGCAAGGCTTTGAGAAAAGTCCTTCTTGTCAGGCGGCCTTTGAGACTGGGAAAAGACAACACTTCTTGCGAGCGCCACATTACGAGTGTGGTTGGGTGTGGCGAAACCGATCGGTCGCCGTCCCTTCGTCAAGGGTCAGGGCAACAGAAGAGGTGCGACGCCGGGCCCGGGGGGACGAAGGACAGGGTTAATGGCCGGTACAGTCGAGCTGAGAAGGTAACGGTGGGCAGGTCGAGCCTGACAACACGATTAAGGTCACCCGGTGTCAGATCCACCTGCTGGGCCGTGAGTAGAAAATACGTAGTTTGGCTTATTGACGCATACGTGAAGCGTCAAGGGCGGGCAAGACGACCGAGGCAGAGGGCAGGCGAAAAGGGAACTGGCAACCGGTTCGGAAGAGATCAGGCAATGTCAGTCCTGTCTCCCAGTCCCCCTTTGTCAGTGTGCGCAGGTCTGCGTCTGCCCACAAGTGTGAATCCCCTCTTCAGCCGGACGTTCGATCATCTACACTTGTCCTCTCTCAAACGCCCATCCATACCCTCTTTCATCCAGAGGCCAATTATGCACACACACACAAACACACACTCACCCATTTCCAGTCAAACTCTGAACTCACTGACCCATCATCTCAAAGGCTCATTGTCTCTTCCGCCCCTTCAGCCGGCCAGCCAGCCAGCCGGCCAACCAACCAACCAACCAACCAACTAAACGCCATTTCGCTTCGAATATGTAGTCTTTTCGGTCAGGTTGGCCAGCTCAGATAAACGGCAATAAAAGCAACATCATAGTGACAAGCAACCCAACCGGTGTGACATTATCGCTAATAAAAGTAATCAGAAAAAAGCTTGTGCTTACCGAGGTTACGGTTCACTGCACCCTCGCCAACCTCCCGAATGGTCGTTGGCTCAACTTTTTCTATTTCCCTCTTCATATTTCACTGGTTGCCTGGTTAAGAGGCTGGCGCTCAAGACACACGTGCTCGGCGACGTTACGTTAGTGATGGATGGCTTAGGCGGACCAGGCTCTGCGCCAAAAAGACCTTATCAAAGAGCAGATTAAAGCCTGAGCTTTTGCAGAATGTCTACACGACCCCATCAAGTCATCAGGAACTCCGTCAGTGTGCCATGCTGGTTTTGATATTTTCGCTATCCTGGAGCTATCGCAAAAACATGTGTTCATGTTCCTACAATCATATGAATAGGCCTCGAGTTTCCATTACATTTCACTTTGCTCTGCATCCCAAAAAGGTATTATCATTCATTTCAGAATGTCATAATTCGGCCTACTCGTTTCATTTTGGGAACCTTCAACCAACAGTTCTACATCATTTTACACAAGAGAAGACGATCATTTTTCTTATTCAAGACCCATAGAAACTTTTTAAACAT